CGCCATTGATGAGTTTACCAACGGTTTCTGAAAATCATTGTTTTTGGAGATCTTAAGAATCTACCCGCCACTGTTATTGGTGTTTTTTTGCACAGATCCATTAGATATTTCGGAGCCGAACCTTGCATACATCGTTTCATCATCACCAAAACTTTGAAAACGATTCTGCTTTCAATTGGCAGCCAATGTAATTCACGAAAAATTGGGGTCACATGGTCATATTTTTTTCCTTGTACTATAAGCTTCGCTGCCCTGTTTTGTATTGATTTTATCCCATATATTGTTGACTTCGGACATCCGCTCAGCAAACTGTTGCAATAATCAACCCGACTGACCACAAACGCATGGATCAGAGATTTTGTTGTATCCAGATCAAGAGAGGCTCTTATGCGGCCAAGCTGTCGAAGCTGAAATGAACAGTCCCTAACGAGATTATTCACATGCTGATGCATATTCAGTGTACTGTCCAACCAGAAACCCAAATTTTTCACCACACCAGTGAACGGCACCATCACAGACCCAAATCTTATGCTCTTTACATCAGTTTTCGAGAGCTGTTGTTTAGTTCCAATCAACATTACTTGTGTTTTTTCCTCATTTAATTTTAGTCTGTACGAACCCAACCAATTTTTTAGGCACATTATTTTCTCTGAGACAAGTTCAACCATTTCCCCCACCGACCCAACCCCAGCGCTGCTGCTGATCTGTATGTCATCTGCATATGCGTACACGCGCAGATCATTATGTTTCAACAATTTCGCTACTCCTGAAGTGTACAGGAGAAAAAGGAGTGGGCCTAACACTGAGCCCTGAGGAACCCCGTTCTTTATTTCCATGACTGTTGACGCTTGTAACCCGTAGACCACTTCATACGTAGTAGCTATGTTTGTATCTTTTGTACCAACAGTTTTGGGTTAAAATGATTCACGACAATTATTATTGATGTATAAAGATCATTTAACACCATGCCTGTTTTGTTAACATTTCAATTATTTTTGAAAGTTTTTTTAATAAATTCCATATTGAAATTTATTCCGTTTTTGAGTAAAAAATTGAAATAAAAATTTGTCACAGTGTGTTTGTGTGTGTGGAGCCTTATAATTTTAGAAATAAATGCGCAAACGTTATATTACACTCAAATAGCATTTCAGGAAATTTTCTAATTTGAAGTTTCGGTTCGATATCACAAAAGTAGATAGCCGGCGATAATGGTAAATTGTAATTTATGAAAATTTCATTTGAACATCAAAAATTTTAAATGAAAACTTTATTTACTTGGCGTTGGGCGACGAACTTCTGATCCGGCATCTCCACAAAGGAGAGGAATGGGATCTCCGCAATGGAGAGGAATGGGATCTCCGCAATGGAGAGGAATAGGATCTCCACAATGGAGGAAGCGTCCACAAGATCAACCAAATGAATCATATCGTGTTGCACGGCAGAGTACTTTAAATATGAACGCGAGCACCAGGTGACACTAATTGGAAAAATTTTAATATAAATCGATCGTTGTCATTAAATGCAATTTGACTTTAAAATACCGATATTTTCGTCATTTTTGCTAATTGTTCTACATCATCCTCAAATTGTTGGTACACCCAGTGGATACATGTTCTTCAATCCTGAGGTCACTTAGAACATGAGAACATTCATCGTAGGTGAAAATAACTGAAATCTTCCAACATACATGGTGTACGTGCACATATTTAACGCAAACACATACAACACACTACACTGAATAAAAATAAAATAGCATTTGCATGTATGCATGTATGTATGTATGTATGTATGTATGTATGTATGTATGTATGAATGTATGTATGTATGTATGTATGTATGCATGTATGAATGAATGCATGTATGTATGAATGAATGAATGCATGTATGTATGTATGTATATATGTATGTATCTATTTATAATACAAGTAGATGTATCTATGTACTTGTACGTGTTTGAATGAACAGTCAGATACAGAATTAATATGATACAAAGTATGATACGATGAATTTATTATGATGATGAGGATTAAACATTAGCGAGGATAACGTGATGAAATCTAACGAAAATATAAACCAAAACGAAAATATTAATAATAATAATAACAGTCATTACCACCATCATCATCACCGCCATCATCCTCATTTTTTAATATTTTAAATAATATCTTTATCGTCGTCATCGTTAACATCGTCATTATTGTTCATATTGCTCTTATTATTATTTCTATTATATTTACAATATTATTATTATCATTATTATTATTATTATTATTATTATCATCATCATCATTATTATTATTATTGTTGTTGTTATTATTATTATTATTGCTGATGTTATTGTTATTATTGTTACTATTTACTGCGTTTATTGGAAATTGTGAAGAAAAAATTGAGTGATTTCGTCTGCCATATGCTGCTTGGGCGAGCAAATCTTGTACTCGCTATTAGCAAGAAGAAAATGAACAAACAACAGCAACAACAACAACAGCAGCAGCAGAAGCAACAACAACAACAACAATATTAATGCTAATAACATCAATATTAACACCAACAAGAAATACGCGAGCGTCATTTCAAATTTACGTAACTAAAGAGCCAGCGTGGATG